ACAAGGGCTTAATATGAGTCCTTGTAAGCATGTTACCACCGTTAGTATAAAAGTATATAAAAATAAAATGTTAAAGATATCAAAAAAGTTGATAGGTCTTCATCCTAATGTTGTTATCATTGGTAGGTGCTGTTGAGTCAGTTCTGACTCATAAGGACCCTATGTACAACAGAATAAAACACTGCCCGGTCCTGCGCCATTCTCACAATTGTTGGTGTGTTTGAGCCCATGGTTGCAGCCATTGTGTCAGTCCACCTCATTGAGGATCTGCCTCTTTTTCACTCACCCTCTACTTTACCAAGCATAATGTCCCTCCCCAGGGACTGATCCCTCCTGATAACATGTCCGAAGTACATGAGGTGAAATCTCGCCTTGCTTCTAGAGAACTTTCTGGCTCTACTTCATCCAAGACAGATTTTGTTCATTCTTTTTACAGTTTGTGGTATAGTCGATATTCTTAATCAGCATCATAATTCAAAGGCATCGATTGTTCTTCCATCTTCCTTATTCATTATCCCACTTTTGCATGCATATAAAGCAACTGAAAATACCATTGCTTGGGTCAGGTGCACCTTCGTCCTCAAAGTGACATCTTTGGTTTTAAACACTTGAAAGATGTCTTTTGCAGCAGAGCTGCCCAGTGCAATACACCATTTGATTTCTTGACTGCTGCTTCCATGGGCATTGATTACGGATCCAAGTAAAATTAAATCCTTGACAACTTCATTATTTTCCCCCTTTATCATGGTATTGCTTATTGGTCCAGTTGTGAGGATTTTTGTTTTCTTTATATCCATACTGAAGGCTGTAGTCTTTGATTTTCATCAGTAAGTACTTTAAGTCCTCTTCAGTTTCAGCAAGCAAGATTGTGTCATCTGCATATTGCAGGTTGTTAATGCATCTTCCTCCAATCCTGATGCTGCATTCTTCTTCATAATAGTCCAGCTTCTCGGGTTATTTACTCAGCATACAGATTGAATAAGAATGGTGAAAGGTTACAACCCTGATGCACACTTCTGATTTTAAACCATGCAGTATCCCCTTGTTCTGTTTGAACAACTGCCTCTTGGTCTATGTACAGATTCCCTATGAGCACAATTAAGTGTTCTGGAATTCCCATTCTTCGCAATGTTATCCATAATTTGTTATCCACACAGTCGAATGCCTTTGCATAGTCAATAAAACACAGGTAAACATCTTCCTGGTATTCTCTGCTTTCAGTCAAGATCTGTCTGACGTCAGCAGTGGTATCCCTTGTTCCACGTCCTCTTCTGAATCTGGCTTGAATTTCTGGCAGCTTCCTGTACTGCTGCAACCATTTTTGAGTTATCTTCAGCAAAAATTTTACTTGGCATGTGTGATATTAATGATTTCATTTGATAATTTTCACATTCCATTGGATCATCTGTCTTTGGAATGGGCACAAATATGGATCTCTTTCAGTTGGTTGGCCAGGTAGCTGTCTTCCAAATTTTTTGGCATAGACAAGTGAGTGCCTCTAGCATTGCATCCGTTTGTTGAAACATGTCATTCGGTATTCCGTTAATTCCTGGAGCCTTGTTTTTTGCCAGTGGCCTCAATGTGCCTTGGACGCTTTCCTTCAGTACCATTGGTTCTTGATCATATACTACCTCCTGAAATGGTTGACTGTTGACCAGTTCTTTTGGTACAGTGACTCTGTGTATTCCTTCCATCTTCTTTTTATGCTTCCTGCGTTGTTCAATATTTTGCTCATAGAATCCTTCAGTATTACAACTCTAGGCTTGAAGTTTTTCTTCAGTTCTTTCAGCTTGAGAAACGCTGAACGTGTTCATCCTTTTTGGTTTTCAAACTCCAAGTCTTTGCACTTTTCATTATAATACTTTCCTTTGTCTTCTCAAGCTGCCTTTTGAAATCTGTCTGTTCAGCTCTTTTACTTCATCATTTATTTCATCAGTTTGCTTTAGCTAGTGTAGGTTCAAGAGCAAGTTTAAGAGTCTCTTCTTAAATCCATTTTGGTCTTTTCTTTCTTTCCTGTCTTTTTTAATGGCCTTTTGCTTTCTTCACGTATGATGCCCTTAATGTCATCCCACAACTCATCTCTTCTTGGGTCATTAGTGTTCAGTGCATCAAATCTATTTCTTGAGATGGTCTCTAAACTTAGGTGGAATATACTCAGGGTCTTACTTTGGCTCTCGTGGACTTGTTTTAATTTTCTTCAGCTTCAACCGGAACTTGTATATAAGCAGTTGATAGTCTGTTCTGCAGTCAGCCCCTGGCATTGTTCTGACTGATGATATTGAACTTCTCCATTGTCTCTTTCCACAGATGTAGTCGATTTGATTCCTGTGTATTCCATCTGGTGAGGTCCACATGTATAGTAGCCATTTATGTTGTTGAAAAAAGATATTTGCAATGAATAAGTCCTTGGTCTTGCAAAATTCTATCATGAGATCTCCAGCGTTGTTTCTGTCACCAAGGCCGTATTTTCCAACTACCGATCCTTCTTAGTATAAGCACTTAGATTATTTTTTTTAACTCTTCTAAACTTTTTCCATCTGTATCCATATTTACACTGGGAAAGGAAAATACAAGCCTCTTCATTTTTCTCTTGAAATAGTATTTGCTATTTATTTTGCATAATGGTGCAGCTCTGTAATTACCAGTAGATTTTTTTAAGAACTACTAAATGCAACAAAGTATGTAACATATTTTACATGATAACCTGTAATGGAAATGAGCCATCCCTGAGGGACCTTAAAATTCAAACAAGTATGTGTTGGGTGCTCATACGTGTGAATGTGGATGTGTGTGTACATGTGTGCACGTGCATTTGCATGCACATGTGTGCATATGCATGTGTGTGCGTCTGTGTCTGCAGACACAGAGACAGATTGTAGACTGCAATCACTGTGTACCGAAGACCAGTTCCTGCCATCAGGAATCCACCCAGGGAGCCCTTGCTGTTTGAGACCCAGTGTGAGTGCCCTTGTTAAGAAGCTTTCGGTATTCCCCTTTCTGTGCCACTGTTGCACTTGTACCTGTGGTTATATTTGCCCTTAGTGCACTGGTTTGTAATTATTTGTGAACAGTAGCTCCCCACTAAGCCATGACCTACTTAGCTGAAAGGCTGTGTCCCAGTTCTTCTTTATCACTGTGGTTCCAAAAACTTAGTGCTAAACTCTTGGCTCGGTGTATGTTATGATACTGAATGCCTGGTTGAATGAGCTGAATTAACTCCTACATTAACAGATGCTATAACTAAGGCACAGTTAAATATGATTCTATAGTTTTAAAATGATTTTTCAGTTAAGGTGATTTTATTTTAATTAAAAAGACCTTAAAAGTAATTTTTTAGGAGGCAGCTCTCTGCCTGTTGTGGACAGCTGTGGCCTCACAGCTTCCTGTTCACAGAGCCTGCGGCGCTCATGGAGAGTCCTCTCGCCACATGGGCGTGCTTTGTAAAGGACGAGGTGGGAGGCACGGCCTCATGGACCACACCACCTAGCGCCCAACGGCATGGGTGCTGTGGGCAGAACCTTTCCTCAAATCAACTTCATCTAAAACAGTTTATTCTCTAAATATTTGTAATATTTGGGGAAATATTTTAGAAATTTAAGGGTTGGTTTAGATTCTGTGCCTCAGAAATAAGCCCCAGAACCAATCATCTAGCCAGCGTCTTCCCAGTCATTAGTAAAATGGCCTATGTCTGTCATCTGACAGTGGTTTGAGGAGTGAGTGGGAAGGAAACTCCAGCAGCACACACCTCTCTTGCGTACATGCAGATTGTGTTTGAAATGTGTTATCGATTTCTTCCCTTCCTCCCCAAGTTACTTTAATTTTTTAATCTTAAAATCATCCTGGTAGCAAATTATCAGTTTTAAATAAACTGCAGCTCTGTGTTGAGGCAGTGTTGTTTTAAAGGGCACCACGACCGTTGGAACAGGGCCTATTTCTCCGACCCGCAGACACAAGCAACCGCTGCTGCACCTAGTGCCATTTCTATGCTACGTGTGGAGGACCGGGCTCTGAGCTCCTTCCATCTCTGTTCCAGGCGGGCATATAGCCAGGTCGCAAGTAGTGAATTATGGACTGCAACTTTAGATTAAGATGAAAAGTTCTCAGATTTTAAATGTTATTTTTATTTCTGAACATAAGCATTAAAAATGTAAAGATACAATCAAGTTGCATATATTGCTCTTGTGGCATTGATGTATGCCTCCTGTCTGTTATCTGAACACAAAATTAGAATACAACTTATATTTGAATTTTTATTTAATGAAAAGTAGCCAACATAATAATATTTTATATTTAAGA